ATATTTGCTTTCTAATAAACTGGATAAGACTAGCTTGAGGAAGTGGAAAGAGTTAGAATATAATAATGAATTGCCTAGTCTCGATGAATTTTTGGAGTTTGATAGGTAAAAATAATTATAAATACCCACTTATTTGATTAGCAAAACTTTTAAGGTAGATACCTACCTATTCAATGGAATCATTTACAATCTATTCCAAAGACCTAAATACTACTAAAGTTCATTCCACCAAACGAGATAGTAAAGGTAAACAAACAGGCGGAGCTTAAAAATTCAGAGAAGGACTGCAAAAATATGAATTACAACTAATGACATTTATTATTGTCAGGTTGTCATATGAGTCAATAAGTTTAATGTCGTATTTCCTAGTATTTCACAATTATTTAAATAGTGTTTGGTGAATTATTGTTAATTAGTGAGATTAAAACAGTATCAAGTTCAACAAATTCCGCTGAAGAATTCGTTCGGAAATATATTCAGCGAAGAGAAATACAAAACTACCTAGGACGGTCCTGCTTTGGGCAGAGTATAATCCTTTTCTAGCCAATAAAATTTGACTTACCTGTCAAAGTTTGTTTACTGTCACTATCCCGTTTGGTGAAATGAACTTTAGGTGCATCTTTTAATAAAATTCCTATTTTTACTTTTTTTATATTTTTCTTTTAGGAATATTTCAAGAAAAGACTTAATTGCTTATTTATGCAAAATGAGACATGGGTTATCGGATGACTTTCTGCGAATTATATTTGAGTACCGAAGCTCACAACAGGTTAGTATGGCCATAACAAATGTAAGGAAATCGTTAATGGAGAACTTTGTTCCACAAAATATTGGACTTACCGCGGTAACAAGAGAAAACTATATCCGTCAACATGTGACTGAATTCTCTAATATATATTACAATCCAGAACCACTTAATCCAAAGGCAATCGCGTACATAGATGGCACTTACTTTTCTTTTGAAAAGAGCTCTAACTTTTCTACATTCGTTTTCGGTTCACAAACATAAACATCTCATCAAACCTACCCTAATTGTAGCTACTGATACATTTATCGTAGACATTATTAATCCATATTTTTCTGATGGATTTAATAATGATGCGGCAATATTAAATACAGAGCTACAAAGAGAAGGGAATCTGTTGCGGGAATGGTTTGAGGAAGACGATATATTTGTTGTCGACAGAGGGTATCAGGATTCTATTCCAATCTCACAAGAACTTGGTATTGATCACAAAATGCCTAGTTTGTTACCTCATGGTCAGAGACAGTTAACAACTAAGGAAGCAAATGACTCTCGTCTAATCACCAAGACTAGGTGGATTGTGGAGTCGTGGAATCGAGGAACGGTCACCTGCAGTCAGTTTTTAAATTCTTGGCCCAGAGGTTTTAAATTGTTCATGCATCACATTTAGGAAATTATTTGAAAATTGCTGGAATCCTACTAAATCGATACCATCCTTCAACTGATATGGTTGAAGCAAATGCCGAACTTGCAAATAATATTCTAAGAAGAAGACAATAAATTAATCATTTTCAAATAAGAGCCGAGGCGGAGAATTAGCATTTACGACGTGCTCAGTGGGCGCCCATTAATATTGCCGATGTTCCTAATTTTCCTCATTTACAATTGAATTATCTAAAAGACCCCACCGTGGGAACATACCAAATAAAACTCGCTCCTTCATATGTACAGGACTCTATTCTCCAAAATCCATCACTGTTGCATTTAAAAGGATTTTTTCTAGATTTATAAATGCGACTCGTTACCAACTTTTAATATCTTTCGAAAATAATTTGGAAAATCCAATAAATAACTAGCAAAATTATATTTCTACGGTTTCATGTGCCTATAGGTATACACTTAAGTACAATGAAATTGGCCTACTGCTTACTTTTGACTTCACCTATTTTTTTTTAGAAACTATTTATTACTATAATACATAATTTCAACCCATATTAGATGATAGTGAATTTTTTTCAAATGGTATATTTCTTTTTTTGATCTCATGAATAGTTTCTAAACAAAAAATAGTTGAAGTCAAAACTTAGCAGTGGGCCTTTTTCTATGCACGCAAGTTTACATATTTAGCTAGATGTTAGTTACGTTTATTGTTAGTTTCTTCTGGTTAAGTTTTTTTTTTGTAGGCTTACTATCATGTTGACAATTTAGTTTATAGTCTATACAGTTTTGCCTACTCAACTCCTATTTAGATATATTTTAGTTAGGATGGTAGAATAAAATTGTTTAATTATTATTGATATAAAGGATGGCAATAGTTATTTTTGTATCAAGGGCGCGAAATGCTACTTTCGTGATCGAGATCTGATTTTTTTAACGAGGCGCAGCCGAGTTAAAAAAATAGTCGAACGTTAAAAAATCAATACCTGTGAAAAAAAGTGCCACTTCGCAAACTGTCATGAGTGTGCGAACATCATCATTTTTTGACAGTTGTAGAAAAAATATATTTAAGTAACGGTAATCACTAAAAATAATTCTGGACGTAGCGCCCTCTACATATTTGGACAAAATTCATATCGGATATGTTATCTTCACTTGAATTCATTCAAAATGCTCAGAAAGTTTTCATGTGAAATAACAAATTCGAAAATTAAATTGATTATTCCACTCATCCCAGCTAACAATTCCATGTTCTATAAAAGTCCTAAGAACGTTTCCGGAGCAAATTTAATAGAGCAATGTTTGTTCTAAGAACGTTTTCAAAACGTTCTTACAACACCTATACGATAAAAATGGGCACCATTCTATAGAGCTCTTTAGCTCTTTAAGATGTTGTGTAAGGTCTGCAGGGAACACCTATAGAATTGCTGAATAAACGTTCTTAGAAGTCTTAAAGAATTTTTATACAACAGTTACAAAGCATTATATTAAATATTGCATAGCAGTTCTAAAATGATGTTTTAGAACTCTGTTATAGAACAAATAAAGAACTATTATACATTATTATCGTTTAGCAGCGCAAATCGTTTCGTTATACAATTTTTTTGTTGCATTGTTTTCTATTTAGAGAACTTTGATATCGTTTAATTGCATCTTTTACAAACATAATGATTCCGTATCGCATCACCGCTGGTACATGCCAGGAATAATGGACTCCATCAAAAAAACAAACTGTATATGAGAGAACTTTACACTATTATCAACTGCTTAATTAGTTTGTAGAACCAAGGAAGCAGTAAATTTTAATGCGGAAAAAGTTTTATTGTGAAACGTGGTACCATATTATGGTAAATTTTTGATGCGCCCTCAGTTTACCTGATATTTTCTATAATGCAGGATAATTATTTATTTATTTTTTTTTCAAATTGATGAATTTACTTTCCAACTGTTAATGCCATAAGTCAGAAAGTAGATAAAATCCATAATATTGATGCCATTAAAGCTATTTTGACTTTATCAATGTTTAATAATATGATTTTTTCTGTTTTCTTGACAATATGGCGTCAGAAAGAAAGGCTTTTCTTGTACTTCCAATATGGCTTCTCACTAATATGACATTTTTGTGTCGATTGCAATGACAATAGAGCAAATATCCTCCATAAACAGCTACTATACAGCATCTATCCTATTCAATCTCCACAGTGTTGTCATATTTCACGATAATTCCTGAACCGAAGGTTCAAACTAATTTGTCTCATTTTGTTTTACCTTCCGTTATCTTGAATGTAGTTGAAGTTAAATAATAAATGTTCGTCATTTTTTATGTTATTTTAACTCTTCGAAAATGTCCCTAATTATCTGATATCCTATATATGTAGTCTTTTTGCTTTTAAATTTTGATTCTAATTCGCTTTTCATTTTATACCTGATGCAGCTTGGTGTAACTTTGATACCTACAAACAAATAAACAAACAAAGCTATTACCCATTACCCATTACCCTACTGTCATGTATGTTACCTACCTATGTTTTTCAAAGGTGATATTCTCCACATACCAAAAAATCTGGTTCAATAAGTTTTGTAATAGTAGATTATTTAATTAAAGGAAATGGAAATAGGATATTTTTCAATTAAAAATAATAGGATAGTCAAGACAAAATAAAATTATAATTCCGGATATCTCCAGAATTCATCAGTTTCATTACCTACCATTTTCTCTAATTTAAACTCACTGCACCCTTTGAAAAGTACCTCTACAGCAGAAGAAAAAGTAGAGTAGTTAGTGTTCTGTGCAGGTAGGTATATTGAAGTGGCAACGCTGTACATCGGTCGACAGTCAGGTCCCAGAGGTCGGTTCATAGAAACTAGTTGAGCGGGAATGGCATTTTCGATATTCAAATATAAGACAATAACCGAACCTTTATAGAACAATTTTGTATTCCGTTGTTCTGTTAGTGTACTGTATAGCAACTTTAATAGAATCTAATGCGATTTAACGTATAATTTTGCCCATTTATACGATATTTCTAAACATAACCTTAAAAGTTATTTTAGATGTTTGCGCGCTGTGTTTAGTTTATATTTAGTTTATGTGATTGTTTATAGCGGATAAATAAATACATACACAAAAATATGTATAAAATAGTCGAGACAATAGAAAGAGGTTCCAAGCAACTAACCATAGTTCCTCAGGCATGGGAAAAACAGGGGGTACTTTTCTGGCCCAAAATGAAAGCCGATAAACTTATTAAAATAGGAAACTCTGTACCTGAAGTTTCTTGGTTTCAAATGGTTTGTAAATTGAAAAGAAAAGGACTACAAACATACGAGATTGCTGAAAAAGAACTCTGATATGCTTATGAAAGAGGATTCGACTGAGGCAGAGGAAGAAGAAGTGCAGCCAAAAAAACGAGTTAGGGTTATGCTCCCAAAGAAAAAAACAGAATATGATTTCAATGAGATGGCAGTGAAGGCTACTGCTGCTTGCATATAATAATCCTCATATTTCTCAGGCTCCAGCGAGGGCTCCAGATGAACTAGCAACGACTTCCAAGACAGTTCAATACAAGAGTGTAAATAATAGTTTGATTGCTGATAGTCTCACTGATAACTCTCCACAAAATATTTTTTATTTAAATGCTGAAAATATTAAAGATATTTATTCGAGTAATGAACCATACATTTCCACTGCTACTGTTGCCACAAGTGACATATCACCGACCGATACGAATACTTTAAATGATAAATTATTAACAAACATTATTGAAAACCAAGGAATAATTATAGAAAACCAAGCAACTTTACTCGAAAGCTTGAAAGGACTTGGAACTAATGATAATAAGCTGATAATCTTTCAGCAGTTATCAAAATTTGAGGCTATGGCAGATGTAATGGCAGAAAAAATGACAAATATGAACAGCATTAATAATTGTTCCTGTAAAAAATCTTCTCAGATAGTCGAAGATATATACATAGACCGCATTGAAGCAGTAGAACAATTTGATGCATTTGAAAGTAAGCTAAAAGACAGAAAAATAATGCAGGAAAATATAGAAAGACTTAGTCAAGTTTGTGGAAAAAGAGGTGATGGCCATGGAGTTAACAACTGTTACATATTAATTGATAGGATGTTCTCCAGAAAATTCATGACCCTGTGCTCGTGGGCTGGTGGCGCAAGAGGAGAACAGGAAAAAGTGGCTTATAAGATGTATAAAAACGTTATTTCGCTTTTTTTTAACGTCGTGCATTTATCAGACAAAAGTTTCACACAAAAAGACTGCGAGGATTTTATCAAAAATGTCATAAGGAACTCGACCAGGAGAAGCAAAAGCGATCTGTTAAGAACTTCAGCTATTAAAAGAAGGCTCCCTAAGAAACCTGCTTCTGCCTCAGAGGAAATGGAAAAACCACAGGAAAAAGTTGATTCCAATGATATCATTGAAAATGAAATACCTACGTTAGATGACGAAAATGGCATGGAAGAGCAATGTAACTCTGATGCTTTATCCGATAGTCAGGTGATTATATCATTCTATTTTTTTCCATATAAAAGCTATTAATTGTTTTATTTCGAAGGAATGCGACCAATAAGCCAGCCCATTGATTGACGGTTCCAAAGAAGAGAATTTTGTGATTTATTTTTATTTACTGAAGACATGAAAACTGCAGTGAGTTAACTTATCGAGACGACCGACACCGTTTTTAAAAACTTTATTCTAAAAATTAAAACTAATTGACAATCATATAGCTAAGTAAAAAGTGAACTAAAGTTCGATGGAAGCAATTTATATAAAGAAATTAGAGATGCTATGTCAGCGTTATATCGTCTTGGTTGGTGACATAACTCCTCCATCCTCGGATTCAACTAGGCCGTCTAGAGGGGTAGTTGAACAACTCGGGGGTCGATTCTTCCTTCGTCTTGTTCTGGATTTTTCTTTAAACATCTTGGTTGGATATACTTTTTGTAGGTCATTACCCCAAAACAGGTGATAAGAACCACATAAATGAACATGGTCCATATACTTGGGTAATGGTAGAGCTGAGGAGAGTGCAACTGAGGGTAGTTCGCTTGAATTTGCTTCTTTATGTCAACAAGGTCGTCTAGCTTGATTTATTTGATATGCACTGATAAATCTAACTGATTCGGTGCAATTGGAATGTTCGGCCAGTCAGGAAATATTATTGGCGTCGATCGATTTCCATTTATTATTGTTTGATTATTGGTTTTGATCAAACAATCGTTAGGGATTTGGACAAGGTACGTTCCGTGTAGTCTTCGGATTTCTTCTTGCGCACTGCATTTAAGTTTGATGGTTTCTTCTTTTGGCATTACAAAAATCCATTGATTTGAATTTTCTAGTTGGTTGATTATTGGTCGGGTGATAATTACTTGTGTTTTTTGGCAAGTTGACGTCTGCGGATCTGCGTCTAATAGTGCAATTTCGCAAGAATTGTTGTCTTCGTTTTTCTGGAGCTCTTCTTGTTTACAAAGATAAAGATTGGTGGTTACCTTTGTGCAGGGCTGACCGTAGTACGCATGGTGCAATTCATTTTTTATTAAATAATTATTTCGCGTTAGAACAGCCCTAAACCAACTCTTATATATGACTGGTATGGAATACAAATGAAAATACTCGAATAATTTTGGGTAAGAAACAGGTATGCGAAGCAAGAAATTGATTTTATTATTAAGGATAAAGCAATCGATATTAATCAGTTTTTCGTAAAGAAAAGTGTTTTCTAAGGAGATTGGTAAAACCATTTGGTTATATCCTAACTTTTCTTGCATAATAAGGAGTTCCTTATAGAGATCGTTAATTTTAATTATACTGGGATGAATGATGCTTAATTTTGCAAATGTTATTGAATTTTCCAAGTCTTGTAGTATGGATTCAATTATTTCGTATGTATTGATCATTTGTATCAAGACATCCTTGATAAACAGTGAATTTTTTCTATAAGCAGAACTTTGAACTATCATGGCGATTTGATTTATCTTTGATTCTAAGTATTTGTCATTGTTATACATTTGTTGCAAAGTTTGATTAAATTTATTGATAACATTGACGGATAAGGAGTTTTGTTTCAAAATGTTATTTGCTAACTCATTTTGGTTGTTTTGTAAATTTTTTATTACTTCGTCATAATATTCGCCGTCAGATGCGTCTAAGTTTCCTGTGATAGCTTTAAACATTGATCCAACAACGTTAACTAATCCTCTTTTTAATCGTTTTGGATGAGGCACAATTTCTGATATCTTGGTTGCAATCCTCACTTGTAAAATGTTAAGGAGCTTAATATAGTTCTGACTGTCATTCAAATATCCAGGGTGCGTGTCTATTAGGTTTGAAATGTTGTTATGTCTTTCGTATAGTTTATTGCATTCGGATAAAATTGGGTTTAAATCAAAATAATGCATTAAAGTATAAGTATATTCGACACATTTTGCAGATCCTAGCTTAATCGGCATAATTCCAACATTGTCGTCCAATTTTCTTAAAGTTATCTCGTTACCAACGACAAGTGCGAAGCCGACGAACCTGAAATAGGAAACCTAGCTGTAAAATGAATTCTAGTCAAAACTGTACGTATTTCTAAGAGGTTTTTTAAGATTATCCATATGTATTTTTCCGTGGGCGTCTGTAGTGATCGTCTTTCGTTCAGGGTTAACCGACTTTATTTCAGTTGGCTTAGAGAATTTATCAGACAACTTTTTCCGTTCATGTTTTCGCACATAGACAATTTGATTAGGTTGGAATAGGTCAGGGGTGTCACGTTTTTCGTTTAATTTTTCTATAAGTTTCGTCTTATCTTCGATTAATTTTTCGTTGATTGTTGAATAAAGTAATTTTGATTTTTCTTTATGTTCGTTAACGTAATTGCTCAGGAGTGTATGTTCTAGATTTTGATTAAAAGGGTCATTACTAGAAATATGCCCATTTATTATGTCTATTGGTTTCATTTTGGTAGCTGAGTGTATGGTATGGTTATACGCCAAAATTGCGTAAGTCACTTTATGGGTTATTGGACTTTTCGAAAAACCTTGATTGTTTAAAAGTCGGACGTGTTCTGCCAAAGTTGAGTGCATTCTTTCAACTATTCCGTTGGATGCTGGATGATGTGGGGATCCAAAATGAATTTTTAGTTTATGTAAAAGCAATAGTTCTGTGATAACATTATTTTTGAATTCAGTCCCATTATCAAAAGTGACTAAATCTGGTAGTCCATGATGGGAGAAGAACTGCAATAGGTTATCAGCTATGTCGGTGGCGTTTAGCGATTTTAGGTAATATGCTTGGGCGTATTTTGAGAAGCTATCGGTTATTGTTAGGAATTTTGAATTTTCTAAAGTGTAAGTATCTACATGTAATACTTCGAAGGGTTTTGAACTTGTTGGTGTTACATTCATCTGCATTTTAACCGGGTGCCTCTCGTACTTACTTTTCTGACAAATTTCGCATTGATTAATAAAAGTCTGGATTGATTTTTTGAGATTTGGCCAATAATATTTTGATTTAATCCTAAGTTCTGTCTCGTCTATTCCTCTATGGTTGGTTTTACTTTCGTGGTAGTTTCTTATGATGTTAGGGATTTCATTATGATCGAATATGTCTAATAATTTGGTGGTACATTTTTTAAACCTTAAGGAAGGATATTTAAAAGTTTTACGGATTACTTCGCAAAATGGTTCATAAACTTCCGGGTTTTCGAAGAATAAATAATAAAGTTTATCAGGGACTACATTTTCTTTAACAAGATTTATTACGTCGTTTTCGAAATTGTTTTCTGAGAGTTGGACAAGTATTCGTCTCTTTTTTTCAAATAAAATGGACATTTTGGGTTTTGCGGGGGAGTGGAATACTTTTGAAATGATAATTTGATTAGCGCCATAATTCACCGCAGTTTCTATTATTGGTATCCCAACAATAGGATCTTCTTCTACATTTGTATGTACTGTGACGTCATCGTTTAGTAGTCGCTCGGGGTCATGATGGGTGTTTTCGGGAGGTTCGTCATTTGCGTGGGTGGACATTTCGTCTGCTTGAGCTATATTTGAAATTAAATCTAGATTTTTGTCTTGTTTGTCAGCAGATTGTTCTGATTGCTCCAATTCTTTGTTGAAGTCTTCGATATATTTTTTTAGAGGAAAATGGTCTTCTGTTTCTTTCATGTGGAGCTCGATGCGTGAAAGCGCGTCAGCGTTGGTATTTGATTTGCCTGATTTATAGACAATATGATAGTCGAACTCTTCTAGCTTAATGCGCCATCTTAGGAGTTTGGACGTGGGATCCTTAATCGAAAATAGCCACTGAAGGGGTTTGTGATCGGTTATAATGCTAAACTTGCGTCCAAAAAGATAGGGGCGAAAGTATTTAGTGGCCCAGATGATGGCTAATAATTCTCGTTCGACGGTAGAATAATGTGCTTCGCTATTATTTAAAGTGCGTGACGCATACGCAATTGGCAGATCTTGCCCAATTGGTCCCTGGGACAATATTGCGCCCAGAGCAACGTTACTTGCATCCGTTGTGAGATTGAAAAATTTGTTGAAGTCGGGGTATTGGAGGATTGGCTCATTTGTGAGGATGTTTTTACAAGTTTCGAAACAGGTTAGAAATTCTTCATTATGAACTATTTTTGCACCTTTTTTCAGACACTTTGTAAGGGGTTTGGTTAATTTTGCGAAATCTTTTATAAACTTGCGATAGTAGCCAATCAGACCAAGAAAACCTTTTATTTGTTTAGTGGTTTTCATAAGTGGAAATTCTTTGATGGCACGAATTTTGTCGGGGTTTGGTTTAACTCCTTCTGGTGTGACAACGTGACCTAAATAGGCCACCTCCCTTCTCAAGAATTCTGACTTGTCGAGTTGGACTTTGAAGTTTGATTCGCGGAGGCGTTCAAAAACCAACCTGAGTTTTTTAAGATGTTCTTGTAATGATACAGAGTACACGATAATATCGTCTAGGTAGACTAGGCAATGCTCATTATGAATGCCTCTTAAAATGTTGTCCATGACCCTCTGAAAAGTCGCAGGAGCATTCTTTAAGCCACATGGCATCCGCAGATATTCAAAGTGTCCATTTTCTGTACTGAAAGCTGTCTTTTCTACGTCATTTTGAGCCATTTCAATTTGATGAAATCCGCTCGCTAGGTCAAGAGTTGAAAAATATTGACATTTACCGAGTTTGTCTAAAAGGTCTGTAATGTTGGGGAGAGGATAGCGATCGTCAATCGTCTTAGCGTTTAATGACCTGTAGTCGACTACGACTCTCCATTTTTGTTTCCCAGATGCGTCCAATTTTTTGGGGACCACCCAAATTGGTGAACTCCAAGGAGAGCTACTAGGTCGAATTATGTTTTGGTCAAGCATTTTTTGGATTTGCGTTTCTACTTCTTTCTTATGTATGAAAGGATATCGGTATGATTTAGTGTATATGGGAATTTCATCGCTGTTTTTAATTTGATGTTTTATTTTATTAGTAAATGTTAATGGGGAGTTCTCGTGATAAAATATATCTGAGAATTCGGTGATTAATTGTAAAAGTCCGTTTTCTTCTTCAGGGTTCAGGTGATCAGTACGGAATTTT